TTTTCCTTTCGGTGGATGCACGCGTGGCTTTTTCAACCCACCGCGGCGTTAGTCGCGGGGGGCGGCGCTTTCGAGGACGGCCGCGCAGAGGCCGCGCTTTTCGCCTGCGGCGAAGTCCTCGAGGAGGCGCTGACGCCCCCCGCGACCGCCGTCTCCGGCCGCGCGTTGGATGTTTTGCGGGGGGGGGGGGAGTTTGCCCGGTTTGGCGGATTCCGCGCGCCGAATTGTGGCCGCCGGCTGCGCGGGCCCGCGGGCCTCCCTGTCCGATCCGACTGTTTCGGCGCCTTTTCCGCTTCGGATTCAGGCCGTTCGGTTTCTCTCCCGCCTGCTCGCCGGGGGGTTTCCGATGGGGGGCGTGGAGGGGTGGCTGGGGGATTTACTTCGGCTCTTGGCCTCCGAGCGGAGTGGGATGGTCCAGGCGGCCTGCGTTCGCGGGGCCTTCGACGTTTGCCTCGCGATTTCGCCGCGGGCGCCCCTTCCCCCCGCCGCCGCCGAGCCGACCACCCCGTCGATCGCGACGGAAGCAGCCGGCTCCGACAGCGACGCGGAGCTGAGGACGATCGAAACCGCCAGCCTCGAAGAAGAAGAAGACGACGACGACGACGACGAGGAAAACAATGCGGAGGACGAGGAAACCACGCGCGGGATCCCGCCCTGTTGGGGGCCTTCGCGCGATGCCGCGGGGGGCCCGCCCGGGGCTCCACCGAGGGTGGATTACTCCGCGGTGGTCAATGGCGTTTTCTCTCAGCTTCTCGGGGTCTTTCCCTCGCTGCCGGCGCGTCCGCGGGCGGGGTTTTACTACGGCCTGGCGGAGTTTATCGAGGCCGGGAGGGGGGGCGCGTCGTTTCTCCATCCCGATCTCCTGCGGCGTCTGTTGGAAGTCCTCACGGGGCGGTATACGCGTTTGGCTTCCTCGCAATGGGCGGGTTGCCTGCGCGGCGAGGCCGCCACGGTGTTGAACTGCCTCTGCGATCTCCTCCCACATGTGGGGCCCCTCGCGGAGGAGGGGCTGGGGTGGTTTACCGACGTTTTTACCCATTCCGCGCGGCTTTATCTCACCCCCCCTCATCATCCTTCTGTCGTGAATCCGAATAGTTCGAAGAGTCCTGATATTTCTCCTTCAATGATGCGGAATCGGACTCCTGGCGCGGAGGCCATCGCCGCGGTGCCGCCCAGGCCGATCAGGGGGGTGGAGGACGGGATTGGCTACGAGGATGCCTGCATGTTGGCGATCGATCTCCTGAGCGGCGCCTGTGATGTGTTGTTGGACCGCGATGGGGGTTTGTTAACTCCCCATTCCCCCGGCGAGGACGAGGCCAACCGCCGGCTGGGGCTTCTTCAACACGCCTTTACCTGCTCTCCCCCCGACGGCGACGTCGGCTCGCAATGCCTTCGGATCCTCCAAAAATCCCTCGGGGAGCGGGTCGGCCCGGGCGCCTTTGACCGCCACGCGGGAACGCACCTTCACCGGGCCGCCGACCACACGGGGGATCTACGGCGGGCGTGTTTTGCGCTTTTGTACGATTGTATCTACATTTATTCCCCCATTTCCCCGACCCTCGCGGCGACGTTGTTGGAGTGGACGTTGCGCGAGTTAATCGACGCCGTCCGGGGGGATTTCCTCGCCGACGCTGCCGCCGGGAACGCGCTTTTATGCCTGTCCGAGGTTCTTTACGTGTCGGATATGGAAGGGGAGGTCGACTTCCCGCCGCGAGTTCTCGCGGGGTGTGTGGAGCTTCGGAGATTTCTCTTCACCGCGAACCGCCCTAGCGCCCCTGGGGAGTATTCCTTGCGGCTCAACATGCTCAATGCGTTGGCCCTGTTGACCAGTTTTCAATTTTCCTTTGGGGATTCTCCCGATTCGTCCGTTTACTTTGAGGAAAGTGGGGCCACCATCGGGGCAGTCGCCGCGGGGTTGGGGGATTTTCTCCCAACATCGCCCGCGGCGTCGGGAAAAGGATTTGAGTGCGTGGCGGTGTTGTGGGGGCTCGGTAGGATTATTCGAAATTATTTAGTAAATTGTGGGATAGATGGGGGATCGACCTCGTCCTTGGTGTGCTCGGTGTTGGCCTCGACAGATGGGGCGGGGATTGCGTTGGATGGCATTATAACGGGCTGCGTTGCCACTGCGCGATTTGCGCAATTGATTGGTTGTGAGCCCCCTTTATCCACCCCGCTCGAGTCGCTTTTTGCGCAGTGGCGACCGATTACGATCTGGGTGATACAAGCCTTTCCGGAAAAGGTGGGCTCAAGGGGCGGATCGGTCGCGATGTTGGAATCATTTTTACTTAGAATCCAAGGCGAACCAAACTAAACACCTTCTTTATTTTTATATAATAATCGAGTAATAAATGCATAGTCATATCCGTATATTAACCTTCTAATTACAAACAAATAAATGTTGTGGACCGTAGTATTATTCACATCTAAACATGCAATATTTGATATATATTTATATATATGTATATATTAGTTTGACATCTTTACCTCTATTCTTTCCCTTCTTTTCTAATTAAGCCATACGCCTCAAAAAGAGAGTGTAGCGCAGGATTGCGTTACCCCCCCTCCCCCCCCTCTTTGTTTTTTATCTGTCTATAGTATTGTTTTTTTT